CATTTCAGTGTAAAGAATCATGTTGACCATATTTTATGTAATCCCACATTATGAATATTAATATATCTGCCACTATAAGATAGCAGTAACTCAATACCTGAATCTTTAGCCTTCTGTGACAGGGGAACAAGACAGCCCGGAATTTGAAGGACTAGCACTTGGATCCAGCGAGGGACTGGAGAGAAGTTTGCAGAGCCACACAGCAGGTTGGTGATGAGGATAGTCTCCAGTAAACTGGCCACCATCAGAGCCAGGCAGAGAGAGAAGAAGACGTCTGATAAGATAAGAGAGTATATATATCAGCTCTAGGTTGTGTGTATACTCCTGACATCTTTTAAAACAGGACATTATATGGTGTGAAGCAACGGAGATATCTTGAAAAAAAAAATCCATATTTTTCTTTATGTTTATTTTGACCCTCAGCTCCAAAAGTGAATAATTCGTAGATACCCTACCAGGAAATGGTCCAAGCAAATTTGATGAAAATCCATCCATGAGTCATCAAGTTTTTTTGTACATACACAGAGTCAGAGGTAAAAATAATTCCCTGCTTCTAGCTATGCTGGTGTGCAGGGTGATATAATGTTTACTTCATGTTCAGAGGGTGGACGGCTGCCTATGTTGGTCAAATATGTAAAACTCTTTCAACCCTTCAACCATTTCTAGAAAATCACATGTAAATTAAATGAATTTTAAAACTTTCTGCCCACCAAATCAGTTTATGGATTAGAGCATGGAAATCAAGTTGTAAATCTTGCCCTATGTTTATGTGTATCTGAATTTTAGAACAGAAAACTTGTAAGCTCTTTAATTTTGTAGGAAAGGTCAACTAATGACTTCAATTAGCTTCCAATTACATTTGAAAGGAACACGCACTTCCTTTAACATTCTTTCACATCACTCTGATGAGAACATTTGTTCTGAATAATGCTGACTTATGAGAGGTATGGAGTTTCCTGTGATGGGCAGCAGGTCGTTCATGATGAGCAGGAAGACGGTGTAGCCCAGGATGAGGGTCATCTTGAAGGAGGAGCGGTCCACAGTCTGAGGAGGGAGCAGGAAGCTGAAGAGGTCGACCGTGATGAGGAAGCAGCTGGGGATCAGCAGGTTCACCACGTACAGGGTGGCCCGACGCTTCAGTCTGATCTGCAGAGGGAAGATGAGAGAAAAATAACACACTCATTTGTTGCTCAGTTCAGTGTGGTTCTTATCACTTATCAAAACTGTACTTTTACATTGATACAAACTGAACATGGTACAGAGAACTATGTTGTAGTACCTGGGTACCTGGCTGAAAGTATTTTTGGGCATTTTTACCTTTGACTTTGGAAACTGAATAAATGAATTTAGAGGAAAAAAAGCAGATCTTTTAGAAGATTCATTTTGTTTTCTACTGTCCCTTTTATTTTAAAGTGTATAAAGCTCAATTTTGTTAGATGAAAAAAATAAATTGATTTTGTAAATATGGATGATGCAAAAAGAGTTATCTGTTTATGCTGGAAACTTTTAAATTAACTGCGTATTTGGATGAAAGACATGTAATAGTTCTGTCAACGTTCATTTGGAATTTCTGTAATTTTTTCCTTTCCTTGTGTGGATCTTCTCTTTTTTCTTATGTTTGTATAATATCAGACGCGGCTGTGTCTGTGGGGGGTGGAGGATGTGTGTCTGTCAATTAGGGGTGTCTTGTAATAAGAATAAATGTATATATGTATTTATGCTGTGAATTATTGTTGTCACACCCCAATCCACTTATCTTTACTGTAGCTGTACATCTAAGGACTTGAATTGGATAGATGTCTTTAACTATGTTGTATCTACAATCATTTACTACAATTTACAGATCTTACAGTCAATCAACATACATGAAATATGAGCTCGTCAATGTAATTGCCATCATCAAGGTCTAGGTTGCGGTTGTTGGAGGTGATGTCCAGCAGCTCCCATTCCCCCATTGTGGTCATGACCTGCTTGGAGTGCTCTGTGATGTGATCCACAGATTTGCTCAGGAAAATATTTATGTCTTTCCCTGAGGAGAGAAGAGTAGAGAAATGTATCGTCCACTAAAGTCTAGATTCATCAGTGTAAACACGTGTCCCTCCCTCTCACATGACCCACGATCATTAATCATCCTAACGCTGACAAAGACAGGAGAAATACATGATAGCAGCAGCAGAACACAGTGTGGAACTCTCTAATGTGCATAATCTACAGGTTAATTCATGTTCAATAATCAGACACAACCATTTAAGTAAAGCGACTGTGGCTCAGGAGAAAGAGCAGGTCCTCCACTAACCAGAATGTTTGTGGTTCGATCCCCTGCAAGCTGAAGTATCCTTGGGTAACCCCTTTATTTCCCCCGACAGCAGAAGGAAAAGAAAACACTGTGAGGTGTCTTACCATTGTGGATGTAGGAGTTGAATGTCAAAGAGCAGTTCTGTATGTCGAAGGGGAAGTTGTAGATATCGAGATTACAGGAGCTGACAACTTTGGCCGGATAAGCATCGCGCACCCGTCCATTGCTGTACAGATTCACATACGGGACATGAGGTGCTGTGTTTTCATCCATGCTGCAAGACAAGAGAAAAGCATCAGAGTTAGATACTTTGATTTAACATCTGCTAAATCAAAGTATCAAACTATCTGTATTTCAGAGTTTAGATTTTAAAACAAACCTATGTGTCTGCAACCACGGAATATTATGTAATTCATATGATACTTTCATCTAATATTCTTGGAACTTCAGCTTATTTTGCACTGAAAATTCTCTATTAATTTATCAAGCTCTTACATTCATGATGGACAGCAAAGATATATTTGTAACTTTCATTGTCCACAAATCCCACGAAGAATAAAAAAGAGAAAAACAATAAATTGATCCTGGAGTACTGCTCAATTTGTTTTACCAAACATTGACTAATGCGTCTCATTACTATTTATATGGTGCAAATACTCACTGGAGCAGCAAAGCTTTAGTAATACACAGCTGAAAATAGCCATTTTTGAAAAGTGCTTGGAAATAACTGAACCTGAACCTTGAAAATAAATATAAATATTACATAGCTAGTTGTGAAAGATTGACATCTCCTGTAGGAATAAATATTGTAAAGACAAACTACATACTATACCTTTTAGTTTTGGTCAGATTTTATTTGTTGTCAATAAGGAAAATATAGAATGTCACCAGTCTAACTTGTTAACAAAGATGCATTTTAGTGTTGAGGTGTTAGGTCACTCACAATTCATTGATGACAATATCTGGCATCCAAAATTTGTTTCTGGGCAGAATGATCTTGTGGGTGCCACACTCGACTGGATCCCAGCTGACAAGCTCGTTCATCCAACACTGAAACAACCAAACTGGTGTCGGTGCACAGAGCAGCTTAGACACTAACTAATATTTACATCACTCCCACAGACTCATCACACAGTTTCCCTGAGACATTAAGATGGACGAGTGACTTACATAGTGGAGCCAAAGGTACGTGGTCAAGAGTTGAGCCTTTTCATCCTGGAAGACAAGAGGAGTGACTTTAAGACACCAAAACATTGTCAATGCTAATCATTATGAAGTTAATGATAAATGTATTACATTTAAACTTGTTGGACTATGTGCTACACCTAATGAGTACTACTCCTCATCAGAGAGTTGAACGTACCACTCCTAGTATTCCATACAGGATGAAGGAGGTGTTGATGTTGGTGCGGGTTGTCATGTTCGTGACGGGTCGTATGGCGCTCAGGCTAAAGATTGGAGTCAGCGCCTCCAGCAGGGCCAGCTGGTTGGGCTGAGAGCAGTTCACCTTGATGGCACTGCACGGAGCTGGTGGGACGATTCAGAGATTATTATGGTAATGTTCTTTATAAAAGTTGGTTATATGAAGTAAAACAATTTTCAACTAATGGCAAAAATATTTTTTAGTTTTCCAGTTTCATCATCTGATATAGTGCTTAGCAAAATTCTTACCTGGCATTAGGATAACAAATACAACCAGAGTGGGTGTGACAAATGGAAAAATACACTAAAAGGAACACATATGAAAGACTGTTATTGACTGACAAATGATATGAGTAAAAATCATCAGTTATAAAATGGAGATTTATTATAACCAACATCGCACTCAGGCTCAGAAATAACACTTCATAACATCAGAATACGCACCGTGAAGAAAGATACTTTACCTTCAGTGTCTTGTCCTTGGAAGTCATGATGTCGAGAGTTAAATCTCTATATTCCCTCAGGATCTTACGCCTGTAGAGAGGAAATAATCATCATTAGCTTGCTTAATGGGAGCTTTTGATTTTAGGAGGGAATCTATAAATAACCAACCCACCTGTTACTTACCTGTGAGACTAACTCCTGCATGATTCAATTCCACCTCAGTGGCCAAGATATACACAGAGCCACTGGCAAATGATGTGGGAAATGCAAAACTCTGTAAGGCAGCTACTTTCCCTGTCGGTGGCTTCATACTAAACAAAGCAAAACCACAGTGAGCGTCTGGTGCCTTTGTGTGTGACTGGGACACGGTGACAACTGACCACAGCAGAATTATTGTCACACCTGCTGGTCAGATGCAAATAAATAGTGGATGTGCCATGAGAAACAGGTGTCCTCTGGTGTCAGCTCCAACCCACCCACCTACCTCCATCATGTTGTAGGCCTATTACTGTTGGTCATCAAAATTAAACTGTCTTTATGTTATACTAATGTTCTGTTTGGAGCTATGCTTCAGTATTATTAGTGAGTCCTCCTCAAACTGTTTTACAATATACTGTCACTTGTTTATTATTTTTGTGCTGGACTTTGTGTGCAGAGCTCTTTATAAAGAGACTATGGTGTAGAGTGAAGTTTGAAAACTTTGGGTTCACCCTACCTGGTTTATCTGCATTGAAGATTTAATAGTCATTGTTTTCATAAAATGAAACTGAATTTGCTTTACTACTGTTCACGTATGTTGCTTGTCCTTGGGCAAGATGCTGAACCCCAAAAGAAATGGCCCCTCATAGATGCTGAATGCACTAATTGTAAGTCTCTTTGGATAAAAGCGTCAGCGAAATGACATGTAATGTAATAATTTACTTAACTGCTGTTATTTTTTCATACATTGCATGTCGGTTTTTTTAGAGGTCTGTTAAGCAATCAACAATCTCCAGGCCCAGGTTAATAACTTTTCAAAATAAAAGCTCTGTAGTTTGGCTTGTTATAAGCATTACAGCAACGACACAAACCTTTTGCTCTCATTCTATGAATGTTGCTGGCATGACTGGGCTCATCATCCATGTCGGATATGGTGAAATAAAAATAATCTAATTATCACAACGATCTTGTGGCCATTCAACATTGTAAATTTGCTTGAATATTGAAAAAGCAATCAAAAAAATTGATGGGGAAAAAAAGCCTGTTCCGAAGTTAGTGGTGCAGTATTGTATTGATAAACTGCCTGAGGGAATAATTTGAATTTCCTCCACTTAAAGGTGTTCCAGTGCAGCAGTTGTGTGCAAGTAAGTGGTTAACTTTGCATTTAGTGTGGCAGTGAGTCTGCTGCACTGTTTCAGCATCTGAAGTGAATCAATATTAAGAACATAAAAAATATAATAGACTTGTGTAAAGGCCCCTTCGTGGCCTCCAAAAAGAAAAAAGCCTCCACAGAAAAAATAGAGTCAAATAATTTGAACAATTTGTAAGGACACTGCTGAATTTTTTCTCAAGGCTTGTGAGAAAGACTGCTGCGCCTGGTCAACACTCCTCTTATTGCACAATGGGCTTGTGTTTGTTCAGCACACAGAAAGTGATGCCACACTGTCAACAGAGAGGAAAACGAAACTCAAGTTTTAGATTCGGTAATGAACAGAGTGGAGCACAGAAGGTTCTGTTTCTCTCCCCCACACCTTTGCCTCCACTGTTTATAATAGAAGTCACATTTACTCAACCTTTTCATTTCAAATATGTTGAAAAACACTCATACGAAAAGCAGAGAGACAGAGAGAGAGCTTTTTTGGCAATAGGCGTTTAATAAGGGCATAAGAACAAATTCAAAACTCTTGATACATTCTAAACACAACACACTCCTCCTCCCAGCATAGTAAATCTGAAACAAGCATTATTTTTAGGTCAATTTATAAAAAAAAAATGAGTTAAAAGCGGTGCCAAAAAACAACTGCACAAAACTGTGCGATCACAAAGCACGGCTCACTCTCTTGTACAGATGCCAAGTCTACATCCCTCGCAGTGGTCAGGCTCATGGGGACTCTTGACATCGAGCTTCTCGTGATCGTAGTGGCCTTGATCTAGGGTTTCGTTGTAGCACTTAATTCTTATCTTCTTCACCAGGTTTCTCATGAGGATGGTGATGTGCTCCGCCTCGATGATGGAATCCACCATTGGGGCATTGCTGCACTTTTTGCAGTTTTGACGGATGCGCCTCACCTTGACGGTGCCAATGTTGCCCTCCAGGCACATGTGGAAGACCACCATCACTCGGTTGGAGGGCCAGCCCCTTCGACAGCTGCTGCACTGAAACCTTTAGATAGACAGATGGTTGATATGTAAAACACAGTGAGGGTATGAAACTGACAGTGGTGTATCAAATAAAAACACCTCTATGATAGATGTGTTGTGCCTCACATTTAGAAATGTAAATAATGATTCAAATGTAAATAATCAAGTAAAAGAACAAATTGACACTGACCTTGCACTGGTGCTCCTGAAGTACTCCTTCCATCCACACTGAGGATGTTTGGGCACAATAGTGGAATCAAACTCCAGATTCCAGGTGTCTCCATGCAGGAGATTGTTGGCTTCATTCTGGAAAATAGACCTCCACTCTAACAGAGCCATCCTGAAGTGCCAGTGGTGCAAGTGGTTCACTAAAGTCTGACAGCTGATCCGTGCAGTGAAATAAAAGCTTCAGAGGACGACACACTTCAGCCTGATCAACTTTACTGCTGCTGCTGCTTGTGAGTGCACATTTTGTATTTATATGTTTGTGTCCTCCTGCCCACAGGAAGTGATGCAGCACTATCAGAGAGACTTAGAGAGAAACGAAACTTAAAATTGGAGTCCTTGGTGAGGGGGAGGAGGGTGAGGAGAGGCCTGTGTTATTATGACAGATGATTATAAACTAAGTCACTGAATGGTCCAGCTGTGAAAATGCTGAACTGAACTGCTCTCTGTTTTGATGAGTCAATGTGGTCACTTATATGAGGAGGCCAGAATCAAACAACATTTTTTAAATTTGTTTCAATGTCAGACACAAAATAATAATGATTTGTGTGGATTTACTGACAGACGATGGCTTATTTGTCCATTTTTTGTCCATTTGCCGAGAACACAAGCACCTGAATCACACTGACACTATTCAGGCTACATGGGACATAGAAACTTAAGACTTCAGTTTTTCATAGTTGTGTTTGTGCAGTAGTGCCAACTACTGAAGCTTTTCTGTATTACACCCTTCAAACAGTCCATCTAGTTGTGCATTTAAAAGTTTGGGCAAGTTTCATATTTTGTTGACATTTGAAGTGAAATGATGTAAATCTAACAGTTTGCAGCAAGCACATTTGTAGTGACTCCTTCCTCATGGTTACAAATGAAAACTTAAAAAGTAATTGTCATACGTGCGAAGTGCAAAGTTGTTGACGTCACAGTTTACAAATTGCTGATTGAGGAATTTTTGCCCACTCCTCCCACAGATCACTAGAGGTTTTGCTCCTTTTTTCTTCGTAACACGTTTTTGCGGATTGTAGCCAAAGAACTTAAATTTAACTTCATCTCTCCACTTGTTTCCAAAATGACTGGCTCATCCATATGTCTCTGTAGGCCTGCTGTACTGTACTGTACTGTGAACTGTACTGTACTATAGTGTACTTCTATACATCTTTACCATACTTTTATAACTGTGAAGAAATGTGTCTTCTAGGTCAAATTAAACTAGCAGTTCAAAGTAAAATGTATAATTAAAAAACTTTACATGAGTTTCAATTAATACCATCCTTGTTTCCACATGGAGAAATATTGAGTTCATTAAAATTATAATTTATACATATTGATTCTGTGGTTTTTTCTTCTTCAACCAGTGCCCAATAAAAAAAGAAAAAATAAGAACTGTATATAACTAAATTATAGTTGCTATTTAGACATTAGCTTGACTCAGAGTCGACCATCAGTGGAGGAGCTACAAGGGTAAATCTGAAAACCTTTATTAGTCACCACAACCGTGCACGTAGACAGAAGCTCATTGTAATAAACCAATAAAAAAAGCATTAAGGTCTGATTACTCATTTGCAGGTTTTTTGCAATTGAATTACAGTTATTTGTAATTGTATCTTATTATTGGCCTCTAGATAATGAGGGTCAATACAGAAAGGGATGAATCAACCAGTGTTATGAGACATTTTATGGCCTTTTCCCACTGCTTCTGCTGCAATTAAACTGAGCACATAGTGTTGACCCTCTGGCTTTCTGATACAAGCATGATTTGAAATGATTAGCTTTAATTATTCTAACAGAGCATCATGTAGATTTGGATTTGTGTTGTTTGGCGAATGAGTGTTGTCCAGCACTTCATTTAATGTATATGCAGATGTTGGATGATGCGATTACAGGAAGAAACTTTGTTATTATATAGATATTTCAATTTGGCCTGTATGTGATACGTACTCAAATATTTGTGAGTGAATCCATTTTTTTTAAATATGTACAATATATTGTGGAAAAATCCATCCACTTTTTCTTTCACTAAGCAGAAGTACACCGATATGAAAAGTTCCCAGTATCGGTGCTGTTGTCAGAGCCTGACACTGACTGTTGATCCATATCTGCTCTTTTTGCTCTCTTTTCAAGGGAAGTGAAACCAGGAGATACATGTATGTTATGATTTGATTGCAGCTGAAGAAACCTTGAAAGCAGCCGAGTTAAAGACCTTAGCAACTTGGATGTGACTTCTTTGAATATGACCCTACTTAATGTGGGAGTACAAGGAAGCAGGGTGGAATGAAAGAGATAGAGGAGGTGGTAGTGACATTTTAGACGACTATTATATCACAAAAAAGGTCCATTCCCTCGTCAGAGACAGAACAATGAGAATAAAGATCAGAAGCAGGTATTTCAGTTCTTCTCACACTGATAAATACATATGGAGTAGAAGACAGAAGCAGAAAGGATGAGATAGAAGGTTTGGGTTGAGTGTTTTTGAGTAGAATAGTTGACATTTGAGAAACTTAAAAGAGACGCGCCCTCGGACCTTAACCCCAAACCTCAGACAGATTGGTGATTACACTGGACAGCTTCCAGGTATGAATTCATGTCACTCTGTGTTCATAAATATCTTTATTCCTTTTTATTCCATCATTCTATTATCTATACTGCTTATCCTTTGAGGGTCTCAGGGGGAGCTAGTACCAATCCCAGCAGGCACTGAGTGAGAGGCGGGGTGGGGCACCCTGTACAGGTCAGCAGAGACAAACAACCATACACACTCACACTCCTATTTATTTAATTATTAAATAATTTAACTTCACACCAGAAGAACAGTTTTTCCAGACTGCTGCTGACCTCATCAATTGCATAAATCTCATCGCCTGTGCTCGGCCAACAACCAATATACTGTACATACATCAAACTGTAAATATCTAACATTCATATTGCACATACCCTTTTTTCTAGTTTCTAGTGTTTATAATATTATACACTGTTCATTAATGCTCTAACACACCACAGCTTAGCATGAACCAAAAAGTATGGAGGGTGGACTGGTAGCTGGAGAGATGCCAGTTCACCTGCTGGGCACTGCTGAGGTGCCCTTGAGCAGGGCACCGAACCCCCCAATTGCTCGCAGGGCGCTTCTCCGGGGCTGCCCATCACTCCACCATCTCTCTCCACATGTGCATGTCTATGAGCCCTTTGTGTGTGTGGGATTTTCAGGGTTAATAAATGCATGTATAAAAATTAGTGTAGAAATAATTTCCTCTTGAGGGATCAATAAAGTATCTCTTATTATTATTATTATTCCTTGTATATACCTACTTGGCAAGGTAACCAAATTGTGACTGAGATTCTGAATAAAACATCATAATTTCAACTGATGTCAAAGATCTCATTGTCCTTTTTTTGTCAGAGGGAGAAACAACACATCCTAAAAGGACGAATTCAGTTTTCAAGACTAAACTGAAAGGAAATAACCCACGAATTCCTGGTTAGTATTACATTATGAATGGGGTAAACAAACTCTTATTTTGAAACCGGAAGCCGATGTTGAACGTCGCTATGGTAACAGCCACAACCGAGCAAAGATTAGCTAGTTAGCATCGACATGTTTTAAGGTCCTCTGTGTTGTTCTGTCCTCAACAGTGATTCAACATGGAGTCGTCAGACACTTACCTCATCAGACCTCATCACCAGCACAAGTGAGGCGCTCGTAAAACCACTACTAGCGGCTAAAGTTAGCTTTTAGCTAGCGGGTTCACCATAGGCTTGCGCTAGCCACTGCATTAGCGATTCCAGCGTAACTAGCCATCTTTCTTCGGCGTTTTAAGATAAAACCACTGAGACTGGCGTTAGCTTAGATAGCTGTTTTTAAAAGAAACAGTATTAAGCGGTCGATGCCAGCGTTCGACCATGTAGCTAATATCGATAGCTTTGTGTGCATGTGTTTGGGGAAGTGGTAAAAGTTAAGAATCAAATGACCTGTGTAGTAACGTCACTTATCAATACACTGAAATAACACCAAGTGACCAAACACTTTAATGCACCAAACTGACTTTTAAAAATCAGACTTTAAAAGCTAACAATGTGATTTAAAACTGTACGGGTGTGCTTCTACACATACACGATGTTACTCACATGCAGGGCGGAGCATTGAACAGAAACCAGTGTCCTTGAGGAGAGTTCTGCAGCTGTCCCCTCATGAAACCACCATTAAATTCACTACATCCACATTTTCATTCGGATCTGCACCAGTTTCACAGACATCAGTCCCCTTAACATGCCAGGTGTTTTTTTTTTATTGTCAAGTAAAGGGGGGGGGATCCTGGATCTGCTCCCTTATTCAGATCTGCACCAATATGTAAACTGTTCTTCCCTGACCCATATCACATCCTTTCACCAACTTCTAGTTTTTGTATAATCCTGCTAAATATCAGACAGATAGACACACGCTAAAGAAAACAACCACCATATGTGGACCCATACTTAGGGGAGGTTGATGATTTGTTCCCACTGTGACCACTTTTGGTTGAATTTAACTTCCTGCCTCGCTTCTCACTGTTAAATGTTCCAGGTTTAAGCCAGCCATTGTAAAGGAGTGCATTCGTGAAATCGTGCGGGAGCAACTGTCTGGGGTGCAGTATGACCCAGAGGAGGTCCCACAGCTGTCCCGAACACTGGCAGACTCTGTTAAAGAAAAAGTGAAGAGTGAGACATGCTTTTTTCCCTTTCTGCTGATATTTACCCAGTGGGAAAGAGGAGCCAGATGCTATGGAAGCATATTTCATTCACTTTTTTTCTGAATTAACAAGATATATCATGATAAAGGAATCCTGCTCTGATTTTCTGAAACAATGAGATAACTCAAAATCCTTATACTTTCCATCTGAACAATCACCAAATCCTGAGGTACCTGTGCCAAGGTGACTAAGTGATTTCAATATCATCTATATAACTAAGACAAAAGCATTCCCCAATGTCTCAAATGCAAATCAAAATAAAACTGGATCAAACTACACAGACGGGACATATTTGCTTTCAACAGTCTGAAAGGCTAAATGAGAGATTTGGACTTGCTTCTGTCTGTAAGTAATGTAAATTGCATTGTTATGGTTTGTTGGCTTTGCACAGGCACCTCAGGACTGTTGTGATTGTTCAGAGGGAAAGTACAAGGAGTTATCTCGGTAATTCAGAAAAACAGAAGAGTTTTGTAATGTGCTTCTGTAAAATCCGCTTCTGTAAAATTCTGTTGTAAATATTGTTCAAAATGATCACTCAGATATCTCCCATTAAAGCAAAACTTACTAGTAAAATGTTTTATTTATATCACGATTCTGTTCTCTGCCTGTTTGTTTTAGCCCCTCACCATCAGTCCATCCTATGCTTGTATTCAACACTGGACTCTTCACACCCACCTGCTCACCCCATTCCCTAAGCAGCTCATTGAATCCAGACCAGCAGTGTGCATGTTGTCATGTTCTTGCCATCCTGTTCCCTGTATTGTTCCTGCGACCTGTACCCTCCAGCCTGGCAGCTCCCCTCTATCTGTGACTCTTTTTTTATCCCCATCTCCTCTAATAATAATAATAATATCACACACCTCATTGCCTGCTCTGTGTGTGCACTTGCACCTTCCTGTTGCATCTTAAAAACCATGAATCCTACGCAGTAAACTTTGCATATCAATACCCACCCTTGTAATGTTCCTTCTCAAGATTTGGATAATTGCTGATGCACATGATTATAGCTCATTTGTCTTCCTTCATAGATGCTGGATTTGAAAGATATAAGCTCGTTGTGCAGGTTGTCATCGGAGAACAACGAGGACAGGGAGTCAAGTGAGTGATCATTTGATACTGGTACATAAAAGTAGCTGCTACACTTTTTAAATATACTATATTATGTGGTGTACCATGTTATTTGGGGGAAGCAGGTGTAAAACTTGTTGCACTTTACAGCACACTGGAGTGAAAGTGTGCTGCTCTGTTCACAAGATTATTGCTGTAGAAGTGAAATACTGTGGACTTGAAAATCTCTGGCTGCCTCTCAGTCTGTAGTCAAAAATTTTTACACGCACTTTCCCAAGATAACAAATTGTTTACCAGTATGGATGTATGTACTTTTTATTAAATTATCTTTTAGGAATCCAGGATTGTTTTTCTCTTGCACTGAGCCGACAGCAATATTTAACTAATGTATGAAGTGTAGCCTTTGGTCTTGTTGTGTGATTATGGTGTTAAAATATCAATATCCAAGCAATGACTAAGCAGTAGCTTACATTTGATAGCCCAACATCAGATAACAATTTTCCATCATTTAGTCATATTCATGTTTACAAAATGTGTGATGTGATGTGATGATGAAGGGGGTTCGATGGAAACTTAATTCCCAGTGTTTGGTCTTTATTAACCTTACCCAATTAATATTTGGGTTGTAATTTGTGCTGGAGTTTCTTTAAATTACATTATATTGAAAAACTCATATATCTAAATGGGGCTGGAGACTATATCTAATAATCAATAGAGCATGAACCTTCCTGACTAACTTTCAACAAATGGCACTTAGGGTGAGTTACATTACTATGTTAACATAATAAAAATTGTATTTTATACAAGGCCTCCTTGTGATTCTTTACATTACGCAGGGTTTTCCAGGCAGGAGTTCAGATGTATTTTTGTGTATGAGTCCCTGACCGTTGTGACTCAGTCTCTTCTTGTGTTTTACTAGGATGTCCTCCAGGTGTTTGTGGGATGCTGACACAGACAACTATGCAGAAGATGTTTATATGAACGTAGGTGCTTTTGCTCAGATCTTAATTGTGATGACTCAGAGACAGTTATTCTTAAATTCTTTGTTTTGCCTCTCCAGGACAGCTTGTTCTGTTTGGTGGCGGTTTTCGGGAGTTATTACTACTGAGGACGGGACGATGGTATTCAAAAATTCAACAAGGAAAGATGTGAGGTGAACGTCCAAATGAGACTGGTTGCCATCAGGTCCACGTGCGTGGATCTGGAGTCATGTGATTGCTGCATGTGGAGTTCAACACACATGACATTTCAGTAAAGAGAATGTTACTTTAAAACAAAGGAATTTACCAGGATTTCCTGACAATGCAAGATGAGAGTGGAAAGACTGGCCTCTATTCTAGATAAAATACAAGGTTGTAGATCGAAACATAACTTTGACTTCTTAACTCTTGTACAAGTTCCAACTGGTGTTGAAATGTTTGATGTCATGTTGTGTGTGGAAATCCTCAACATGTTCACGAGATGTTATTTTAACAGACTTTCACACCCATCAGTGAAAATGTCAACTGTACCACATTTTTATTTTATTTTGAAATTATTTCATTAAAAGGCCAGTTATTTGAACTGATTAAAATTGTATCTAAATACATTTCCAGATCCTTTTATTCTGTATTTAGCAGACATGCAAGGTTAGTGGGCTGCTTGTGCTCACACGTGTTATAGGAAATTATAGCAGTATCCAGTACTTGAGGCGCTTTCAGCTGCAAAAACACAGTAAAAGCAAATTACTGTAATGCAGTATAGTGTGTATTGTAGTATATACTTTGGGTGCTTGACTCAGGAGTACAGTAGAGGTCAGTATTTGTCTCTTGTCATAACAGGGATAACTGCTGCAGGGAAGCTACTGGCTGTTAGAAAGTCAAAACTCTTCAGTATTCAATATTTGCATGAACATTTAAATCAACTCATTCACCTTTTTTTTCTTAAAAAAATCTGTCTGATTTGAAGTAGGTGCTTTTTGAGATTAAATGAAGGAAAAGAAAATATATCCTGTGTCTTTCTGACAGGAGGAATGATTGCTAAAATGTGCTGAAACTACAAAGTCTGGCCGACTCAAGCTGAAATAATAAGCTTGGTCTGAAAGAAAAAGAATTGAGTGTCTTCAAGCTACTTCTCTCTTCAAGAGTAAAAAAAAAAATTCAACAATCTTTTGGTCTGTAGAGGCTTTAATCAGCTGGAGAACTATTATATTACTATTCACACTTGTTTTACACAAATACTGTCAATTTAATAAGATTTCACTGTGAGAAGATTCTACATTTACACAGATGATAAATGTAGTTGAGACACCACATTTAATTGGATCTATGAAGCATATGAGAAGGCTGATAACACAACATTCAACTGTTAGTCCTCACAAAGCAACATTCCTCATTATTTCATGGGAGAACACAGAGGGGGAAACAAAAACGGAGACAAAACCCCAAAAGATTCAGCTTGTTTCATAATAAAAAAGTTACAGCCACAATAATTTCAAATACCTCTACTGTTTGTATTATTAAGTATTTATGTTCAATTTATAAGATTTATGACTCTTAAGTTGTGGCATGTTTGCCTCATCAAAGCGTCTCAGTTTACTGCATTGTGTTTTCTGTTCATTTCACAATAGCTTTACGACTCCTCGAGGCCTGAATATAAAGCTTAATTTTTCGTTCAAATGTTTATTGCAACAGTAGAACAGGTTAGTGTTTGGTGTCTAGGCTCCGACTTAGTCACTCCCCTTGATATGATTACATAGATATGATGGGAGTGATGACCAAATCAAGTAACCCTCCCATCTGAGCCTACAGGTGGATGCTGGGGTGGTGGAGGGGCAGAAGTAACTGACAGCAATACTGACGCAGCAGTGGGGCAAGCAAAGACAGTGATGGAACATTTTCTCTTAAATAGACCGCCTAAGAAGGTGGGTATGTATTGTATGTGATTGTGGGGAGTGAGGTATGTTGTTGTTGGAGATAAAAAGTCTGATACTGCGCCAGATAGACTTCTTTTCCAACATGCATACTTTATTGCTACTGGAGTCTTCAATCTTTGGTTGAAAGAATTCACTGGAGATGGTCAGAGTTCAATGCAGTAGAGTTTATTCTTTTACACGCGATAATCACGAGCTGGCTCCAGCACCCAACTGAAGACTGAGCTTCAAACCTTCTGCTGATAAGGTCCTCGTCTCTGCTGTTGCTCCTTCCTACTTTAAGGCTTCTGATTCGTCCTGAATCTAATGGTGTCATACTTCCTTAGTGGATTTTGGCTGTAGATCACAGTTTTTGTTTTTTTAATGGTGCACTCAATCACAGTCCAACTTGGACACCATTATAAATCTCAGAGGCCTTTGAACTGAACCTTCAATCGATATAACTTTATGCACCTTTATCAATCTTGGTCATTTCTCATGAGGTTCTTCAAAGCAACCAGCTCAGAGCTTACTCAGGATGACATTTTCAGATATTCCATCGTTTTGGTAGTTACTCTTCCATCTATCCAGCCATCATCTATACCGCTTATCCTTTGAGGGTCGCGAGTGGGCTGGAGTCAATCCCAGCAGACATTGAATGAGAGGTGAGGTACACCCTGGACAGGTCACCAGTGTATGATGTGGCCGAGACACATATTCACTCACATATTCACATCTACTGTCAATTTGGTCTCCAATCATCTTAAACCCAATCTGCGAGTGTTTGGACTGTGGGAGGAAGCTGGAGTACCTGGAGAAAACCCACACAGACAAGGAGAGAACATACACATGCAAACAGAATTTTGCAAAAAGATAAAATGCAAAAAGCTTCTGTGAGGCGACAATACAAATTACTGCACCACTGTAGTAACTCGTGTCTTTTCCATTCATTTCAGTAAATCTGCCCCCAGTGAGCAAACTAAGATGTTTTTCAGACTATATATAAAGACAAATGAGACAGAAGTGAGCAGCCGAAGTGATCAAGCAAAGCCAAATCAATTAGTCCAATGGCTCACTCTCTGATTACACATACCCACCTGACGATTCTGTTATGCTGCTCTATTTCTGGTTGCAGCACGCAGCTGAGTTGTGAATGTCGTGTTAGAAGCTCTGATACATCACAAATATGATTGGTGATTGTAATTCCTTTTAGTCGGAAAGGTAACAGAGACTCCATAATTGCACAGTGTGAATTTTGTTTAGATCAGGAGAATGTCAGCAAGGTGTAAAATAGTGATCGATAAGCTCATTATTATTCTTTTTTAATAATAAAAAACAGTTTGAAATATAATTAAAAGTTTTTTCAAAAGTATACACTGTTTCTCAAACTACACTAAACGCCTCTGCAGCCTAATAGGCAGTACACTTCCTGAGCACCCAGCAGGACACCACATTAAACCTGGGTAAGACCTCCCATTGCTCTCAAAACACCCACAGTTCTTGGTGGCATCGATTCGTCCAAGATGTTGAACAGATTCTTGTGCATGTCGACACCATTGCATCACGTCGTTTCTTCACATCTGTGCTGCTTATCACCTGTTCTACCACATCCCAAATGTTAGCTTATTTGACTCAGATCTGGTGACTGAGGAAACAACTTAAGTGTTAATTTTCATTAAGCCAGTTTGAGACGACTTCAACATTGTAATGCTGAGAGTAAAAATGGGTGTGCCTGGTCCAGAACAATGCTCAGACAAGCTGTATTATGACAAGGGCCCTATCTGTGTCAAAACACTCAAGCTGGGTTCATGGATTCATGCTGTTGATGAATCAGCTGTCACCACGATCCACTTTTTACTGTTTACTCTCTCATCCAGATGCCCGGTTCATTATATCTTCCACATGCATAGAGTCTGTGCTATGGCATCAGTTGCTACAGCAACTGCCTTTGAGGAATGGTGCAGCTGGACCCTACCAGTGTTCTCACAGCCATCCTAGAGACACACAATGAACTGTACTGCCTTTAGACCCCACTTGTTAGTGACGTGTGGAATCACAGCCTCATACCTATATTCCTTTCAATGCACAAGCCTGCAGAAAGTTCACATTGCTCCTCATCTATTTGAGCAGTCCATAAGAAACTGAATTCTTTTTGAATGTATTTGTGCAGTGGTCTGCACAGCTGCTCTTTACATTTTAAACATTGGTTTTGATGTTGTTTTCCATCGTGAATCCACAGATGCTGACTGTATGACTCAGAATTTAAAGGGTGCACAGCAGAAAATGCTCTGTCAAATTTAAGCACCAAAAATATTTTTACTCAAAACAAGCAAATCTGGGCGTGAGTGCAGTAAGTGATAAGATGTCTTAAGATATGTCAGACTGTGATTCTAGCAAATAAGATTTTGAAATAAGATAAGAAAGACAAATTTCAAGTAATCTAATTAAACCTAATTAATGCCAAAGTACATAAATTACCACTCAAAACTAGATTATTTCTTACCTTCAAATTACATTACAGCAAAATTAAAAACAAACAAAACATTTGCACATAAACACAGGGTTAACCCAAACCCTTGAGCTTATCTAAAATATGCTTGTTTTGAATGACAGCATACTTACATCTAGACAGGGCATTTGGCAAGCGAGTACCTTCAAT